CACCATACCATTACACTTCCCCTCCACCACCAGTGAAGTCTCCTCCCAAGTACCACTATACATCACCCCCACTACTAAAGAAATCACCACCTCCACCTTACCATTACACTTCACCACCACCACCAGTGAAATCTCCATCACCAACATACCATTACACTTCACCACCACCATCGGTGAAGTCACCACCCCCACCTTATCACTACACATCACCTCCACCATCAGTGAAATCTCCACCACCACCATACCACTACGCATCACCTCCACCTCCTGTTAAGTCACCACCTCCTCCATACCACTATACATCACCTCCACCACCGGTGAAATCTCCTCCTCCACCATATCACTACACTTCACCACCCCCACCCATGAAATCTCCACCACCACCATACCATTACTCTTCACCTCCCCCACCCGTAAAATCCCCTCCACCACCATACCATTACTCATCACCACCACCACCGTTGAAATCTCCACCCCCACCATACCACTACAGTTCACCTCCTCCACCGGTAAAATCCCCACCACCACCACCATACCACTACACATCACCCCCACCCCCTGTGAAATCTCCACCACCCCCATACCACTATACCTCCCCTCCACCACCAATTAAGTCACCACCACCACCATACCGCTATAGGTCACCACCACCACCAGTTAAATCCCCGCCACCACCTTACCATTATACATCACCTCCACCACCTATGAAATCTCCACCTCCTCCATACCGTTACACCTCACCACCACCACTAGTTAAGTCCCCACCACCACCTTACCACTATACTTCACCTCCACCACCAACTAAGTCCCCACCACCACCATACCACTACACATCGCCTCCACCACCAGTTAAATCACCACCACCACCTTACCATTACTCTTCACCTCCACCACCAGTTAAGTCCCCACCACCACCATACCACTACACATCGCCTCCTCCACCAGTTAAATCACCACCGCCACCTTACCATTACTCTTCACCTCCACCACCAGTCAAGTCCCCACCACCACCATACCATTACACTTCACCTCCACCACCAGTTAAATCCCCACCTCCACCATACCACTACACGTCTCCCCCACCAACAATGAAGTCCCCACCTCCACCATACCACTACACATCACCTCCACCACCCGTGAAATCTCCACCACCTCCATACCATTACACATCACCCCCACCACCAGTTAAGACACCACCACCTCCATACCACTACATATCTCCACCTCCACCAGTAAAATCACCTCTTCCACCTGTATACATCTATGGTTCTCCTCCACCCCCAACTAATTATTAGACTCCCATAACTTTGTTGTTTGCAAGATACACCCATGTAAGTATCTTTTTTATTTCTTTTCTATATCATGAAACATTCCCAACATTGTAACAAAATTTTAAAAGCTATGACACATCTATAACAACTTCAAATCTATTGATGTAGGTTTTATTTTTCATATGAGTTTCATAAAGAATGTTCCTCAAGGAGATGCTTCAAAATTTTGTTCTTCTACAACCATTTCATTGTAAAAAGGTCTTAAACATTGCACCTCACATCACCAATCTTTTTGTTTCAACCATTTTCTTTCGACATCGCCGTTGTGGGTCATTTTATCCTTGAAAAAGAGCTCGAAGGATTATATGTTGGAAATGTAAGAAAATGTTCAAGTGTTTGTCGCTAGAAAAGGGTGATAAGAGAATTGTGGCTTTAATATATTTTATTTTCATGTTACATATTTATATTGTATAAATGGATAACTAATGGTTATTTTATATTTATATATTATTGGTTTAATCTTCTCATTCCTTTTTTTTGGAGTCGTATATTGTTGGAGATTTGGCAACTACACAACATATTGTTAACACAAATTAATTACATGATCCAATATGGTTTACCCACTTGAACCAAGATAAAAACATTGAAAACTAAATAAAGAGGAAATTATTTATTATTTAATGAGTGTTAATAAATAATAGGAACTTATTGTTATTTGTTAAAGTGTTAATTAATATTTAGAAATTAATTGGTGGAAATTAAATAATTGTGATTAAAATACTTATATAAATTCTTTGAATAATTAATAGATAATTCTAAAGGATAACCACTAATGAATAAAATAATATCATCCTTGATTCAAATTTAGACATGATAAGATTTCCAAGAACTATATAAAAGGAGCATGCATAAGGGGTTCAAGGGTCTATTCAAAACCTTAAAGTTTTCCTCCCTTTTCCTTCTCCACATTTCCTCATCTCTGGGAAACAACTTAAAGAAAACACAAGTTTCATGGTGGCCAAAATTCTCAAGTCTCCAAAGCTAGGGTTCTTGGTTTTTTGTTGGTAAGAGGTATGTCGTTGTCAAAAGGCTCTTGTTTCACTTCCTTGATCTTCATTACACGTGTTAAAAACGTTAGGGTTATGGTTTCTATTAATAGATATAATCGTGATTTAGTATTTAATCAATATGTTGCCGATTTAAATGTTTATTTTCTTTTCTGTTTAATTAACTATTTTCTTATGAAGAAGAACACTTTGTTATTCAATAATGTCTATGATTATGTACATATTGTTTGGGAAAGTGTGTGTAAAAATCATACAAAAGGGTTTCAAGTTCCATGATGATACGACAAGAACGATTTTGTTTTGAATTCAAAGTGTTTGTTTCCCTTTCATTTTGATTTTCTTATAATTTTGGTTGTATTTTTTAGCATGAACTCATACAATAAAAACCATGAACCTGATGGGATTTACATGCAATAATGCAGATAAATCCTTATACACTTAAGGGTACATGCAACATATTAGATATAGTCATAACTTTATTGAAGTAAAATTCTATTGAACAATAAACTCTATAACCCTAGGTAATTTCGAAATTATAAGAATTACATATCTTTGTGATTGTTGTAGTAAAAAAAATCAAACAATCCTTCTCGCAACCATGTGGAAGCTAGGCTAGAAATCTCGTGTCTTTGATTGTTCACACCTAACCCTAGCACCTCAGAAACTAGTAGATGTGAAGAGTGAAGAGAGAAGAGAGTGGGGAGTAAAATTCTATCTTTTCGTTGAGGAATAGGGATGGCCAAAATTTAGAAACCAATGGAGGGTTTTTATAGTTTATCAAATGAGCTAGGGACAAGGCAGGTTCCTAAGATACGTGCTAATCCCTTAACTTCCTCCCTAAGGCATCCATGGCACCCTTTAATGCCCAAGGAAACCCTAGAAGACCTCTAGAATTCGTTCCCCCTCTTAAGGAGGTTCTGGAATTGGTCAATGTTCAATCTTTTGAACATTGTCACCTTTAGTCCTTCCACTTTTAATTATTCAAATTAATCCCAAAATTAATTCTAATTAATTTCAGATTAATTTATAATTAAACAATATAATTTCTAATTAATATAATAAATTAATTAATCAGTATTTCTCTCTCTCTCTCTCTCTCTCTCTCTCTCTCCCCCCCCCCCCTAAAAATCATCCTTTTCAATTACTAGGTTTGAGGGCAACCCAAAAAGACTTTGCTAATAATTCAAGATTACACTAATTTAATTATTGGCTTAGACACCTAAACCAACAGCACCGTGTTTATATCTTATGTCTTTAAACGAGTTCTATTGACAATGCAACATATTAGCAAAGATTGTTTTGTAAATTATTAATTTACAACATTTATCAAAATAATGTTACATTTCATTATATGGATATGGTAAATTTATTGAATCATTTGGACCTGTGTTTATTATGTCTTGAGTTGTTTAGCTTATTTAAATTAGTTCACTCGTGACTTTCATGATGTTATTCGTAATGTACTTTTCTTTTCTAATTGTAATAGATATTACATTAGTTAGGAAAATGTTTCGAATTGCAAATTATAGATAAATAAAGATCAAAGTCAACAAAGAAAGATCTATAGTAATTCGGGTCTTGATAGAGTTCCATTAGAGTATCGGGTGTACTACACCCAGTGTAGATGATAGTACAATTGGAAGCTATGCATTATTGTGGTTGTTTGTCCCTAGAATGACATAGATTTTCTTTATGATGGCGTACAAGATAAATGAATTTGGACTGAGACAATGGTTACGTTAGTTCCATGTGATTTGTGTTTTTTAATGTTTTCTCTAGGATTGTGTGATGAGGAAATATTTTGACAAAAATAATAATTTATAAAATGGTTTTATAAATAATTTAAAGTGTTCTAAAGATAATTTTGTCAATACAAACTCAAAATTTATAAAATGGTTTTATAAATAATTTAAAGTGTTCTAAAGATAATTTTGTCAATACAAACTCAAAATTGTTGTATCTTATCTGTTGGTTTTATTTGTTTACTATCTTGCATTTTAAAATAAATAAAAAAACATATTGAAAGATATGTATATTTCTCAGAAAATGAAGCTTTAATTTTCTAATATTTCATTTTTGAGTTAACTTGTTAAGACATATAATCATATATTCATTTCTTATTATACCATATAAATTATAATACTTCAAAAAAATAAAATAAAGATACCATGCCAACATATTTATGAAAGGCTACATTATAAGTTATATATTTAAGATTATTTTGTATAAGAGTTAATAATATTTATTTAATTTAAATATTTAAACCCAATGTCATATCATGCATATCATAACATGTTTTAATTTTATAGTAACCGACATATTACAAAAGCTAGGTTGACCAAAAAATGTACATGAAGTTGATTTTTTTTTATTTGTGTTGAAAAAGGTGCTGTTGTCGAAATTACTTGCAAGGCTGTTGGCCAGAAAGAAATTTTTGCATATGGAAACACTAAGATCAATGGAAAATATGCAATTACTGTTGACGGTTTGGACTATTCCAAATATGGAGGAGCAAAAGCTTGTACCGCTAAGCTTCATATGGCACCAAAAGGAACCAAATGTAATATTCCAACAAATCTTCATGGTGGTTTGAAGGGTGTTGTGCTAAAGGTCAAATCCAAAAATGTGTATGAGGTTGTCCTTGAGGCTGAACCATTTGCATATGCTCCTAAGACTCCTTCTACGCTTTGTGAGAAGCCAAAACCAAAAACTAGAACCCACTCATTCTCCATATTATTACAAATCTCCACCACCACCACCACCCACGTACTTGTACAAGTCTCCCCCTCCACCTGTTAAGTATTATCCAGTATATCACTATACATCACCCCCACCCCCTAAGAAATCACCACTTCCTCCATACCACTACACATCACCCCCACCACCTAAGAAATCACCACCTCCCCCATACCATTACACATCTCCTCCCCCACCAGTTAAATCTCAACCACCACCATACCATTACACTTCCCCTCCACCACCAGTGAAGTCTCCTCCCAAGTACCACTATACATCACCCCCACTACTAAAGAAATCACCACCTCCACCTTACCATTACACTTCACCACCACCACCAGTGAAATCTCCATCACCAACATACCATTACACTTCACCACCACCATCGGTGAAGTCACCACCCCCACCTTATCACTACACATCACCTCCACCATCAGTGAAATCTCCACCACCACCATACCACTACGCATCACCTCCACCTCCTGTTAAGTCACCACCTCCTCCATACCACTATACATCACCTCCACCACCGGTGAAATCTCCTCCTCCACCATATCACTACACTTCACCACCCCCACCCATGAAATCTCCACCACCACCATACCATTACTCTTCACCTCCCCCACCCGTAAAATCCCCTCCACCACCATACCATTACTCATCACCACCACCACCGTTGAATCTCCACCCCCACCATACCACTAAGTTCACCTCCTCCACCGGTAAAATCCCCACCACCACCACCATACCACTACACATCACCCCCACCCCCTGTGAAATCTCCACCACCCCCATACCACTATACCTCCCCTCCACCACCAATTAAGTCACCACCACCACCATACCGCTATAGGTCACCACCACCACCAGTTAAATCCCCGCCACCACCTTACCATTATACATCACCTCCACCACCTATGAAATCTCCACCTCCTCCATACCGTTACACCTCACCACCACCACCAGTTAAGTCCCCACCACCACCTTACCACTATACTTCACCTCCACCACCAACTAAGTCCCCACCACCACCATACCACTACACATCGCCTCCACCACCAGTTAAATCACCACCACCACCTTACCATTACTCTTCACCTCCACCACCAGTTAAGTCCCCACCACCACCATACCACTACACATCGCCTCCTCCACCAGTTAAATCACCACCGCCACCTTACCATTACTCTTCACCTCCACCACCAGTCAAGTCCCCACCACCACCATACCATTACACTTCACCTCCACCACCAGTTAAATCCCCACCTCCACCATACCACTACACGTCTCCCCCACCACCAATGAAGTCCCCACCTCCACCATACCACTACACATCACCTCCACCACCCGTGAAATCTCCACCACCTCCATACCATTACACATCACCCCCACCACCAGTTAAGACACCACCACCTCCATACCACTACATATCTCCACCTCCACCAGTAAAATCACCTCTTCCACCTGTATACATCTATGGTTCTCCTCCACCCCCAACTAATTATTAGACTCCCATAACTTTGTTGTTTGCAAGATACACCCATGTAAGTATCTTTTTTATTTCTTTTCTATATCATGAAACATTCCCAACATTATAACAAAATTTTAAAAGCTATGACACATCTATAACAACTTCAAATCTATTGATGTAGGTTTATTTTCATATGAGTTTCATAAAGAATGTTCCTCAAGGAGATGCTTCAAAATTTTGTTCTTCTACAACCATTTCATTGTAAAAAGGTCTTAAACATTGCACCTCACATCACCAATCTTTTTGTTTCAACCATTTTCTTTCGACATCGCCGTTGTGGGTCATTTTATCCTTGAAAAAGAGCTCGAAGGATTATATGTTGGAAATGTAAGAAAATGTTCAAGTGTTTGTCGCTAGAAAAGGGTGATAAGAGAATTGTGGCTTTAATATATTTTATTTTCATGTTACATATTTATATTGTATAAATGGATAACTAATGGTTATTTTATATTTATATATTATTGGTTTAATCTTCTCATTCCTTTTTTTTGGAGTCGTATATTGTTGGAGATTTGGCAACTACACAACATATTGTTAACACAAATTAATTACATGATCCAATATGGTTTACCCACTTGAACCAAGATAAAAACATTGAAAACTAAATAAAGAGGAAATTATTTATTATTTAATGAGTGTTAATAAATAATAGGAACTTATTGTTATTTGTTAAAGTGTTAATTAATATTTAGAAATTAATTGGTGGAAATTAAATAATTGTGATTAAAATACTTATATAAATTCTTTGAATAATTAATAGATAATTCTAAAGGATAACCACTAATGAATAAAATAATATCATCCTTGATTCAAATTTAGACATGATAAGATTTCCAAGAACTATATAAAAGGAGCATGCATAAGGGTTCAAGGGTCTATTCAAAACCTTAAAGTTTTCCTCCCTTTTCCTTCTCCACATTTCCTCATCTCTGGGAAACAACTTAAAGAAAACACAAGTTCATGGTGGCCAAAATTTCAAGTCTCCAAAGCTAGGGTTCTTGGTTTTTTGTTGGTAAGAGGTATGTCGTTGTCAAAAGGCTCTTGTTTCACTTCCTTGATCTTCATTACACGTGTTAAAAACGTTAGGGTTATGGTTTCTATTAATAGATATAATCGTGATTTAGTATTTAATCAATATGTTGCCGATTTAAATGTTTATTTTCTTTTCTGTTTAATTAACTATTTTCTTATGAAGAAGAACACTTTGTTATTCAATAATGTCTATGATTATGTACATATTGTTTGGGAAAGTGTGTGTAAAAATCATACAAAAGGGTTTCAAGTTCCATGATGATACGACAAGAACGATTTTGTTTTGAATTCAAAGTGTTTGTTTCCCTTTCATTTTGATTTTCTTATAATTTTGGTTGTATTTTTTAGCATGAACTCATACAATAAAAACCATGAACCTGATGGGATTACATGCAATAATGCAGATAAATCCTTATACACTTAAGGGTACATGCAACATATTAGATATAGTCATAACTTTATTGAAGTAAAATTCTATTGAACAATAAACTCTATAACCCTAGGTAATTTCGAAATTATAAGAATTACATATCTTTGTGATTGTTGTAGTAAAAAAAATCAAACAATCCTTCTCGCAACCATGTGGAAGCTAGGCTAGAAATCTCGTGTCTTTGATTGTTCACACCTAACCCTAGCACCTCAGAAACTAGTAGATGTGAAGAGTGAAGAGAGAAGAGAGTGGGGAGTAAAATTCTATCTTTTCGTTGAGGAATAGGGATGGCCAAAATTTAGAAACCAATGGAGGGTTTTTATAGTTTATCAAATGAGCTAGGGACAAGGCAGGTTCCTAAGATACGTGCTAATCCCTTAACTTCCTCCCTAAGGCATCCATGGCACCTTTAATGCCCAAGGAAACCCTAGAAGACCTCTAGAATTCGTTCCCCCTCTTAAGGAGGTTCTGGAATTGGTCAATGTTCAATCTTTTGAACATTGTCACCTTTAGTCCTTCCACTTTTAATTATTCAAATTAATCCCAAAATTAATTCTAATTAATTTCAGATTAATTTATAATTAAACAATATAATTTCTAATTAATATAATAAATTAATTAATCAGTATTTCTCTCTCTCTCTCTCTCTCTCCCCCCCCCCCCCTAAAAATCATCCTTTTCAATTACTAGGTTTGAGGGCAACCCAAAAAGACTTTGCTAATAATTCAAGATTACACTAATTTAATTATTGGCTTAGACACCTAAACCAACAGCACCGTGTTTATATCTTATGTCTTTAAACGAGTTCTATTGACAATGCAACATATTAGCAAAGATTGTTTTGTAAATTATTAATTTACAACATTTATCAAAATAATGTTACATTTCATTATATGGATATGGTAAATTTATTGAATCATTTGGACCTGTGTTTATTATGTCTTGAGTTGTTTAGCTTATTTAAATTAGTTCACTCGTGACTTTCATGATGTTATTCGTAATGTACTTTTCTTTTCTAATTGTAATAGATATTACATTAGTTAGGAAAATGTTTCGAATTGCAAATTATAGATAAATAAAGATCAAAGTCAACAAAGAAAGATCTATAGTAATTCGGGTCTTGATAGAGTTCCATTAGAGTATCGGGTGTACTACACCCAGTGTAGATGATAGTACAATTGGAAGCTATGCATTATTGTGGTTGTTTGTCCCTAGAATGACATAGATTTTCTTTATGATGGCGTACAAGATAAATGAATTTGGACTGAGACAATGGTTACGTTAGTTCCATGTGATTTGTGTTTTTTAATGTTTTCTCTAGGATTGTGTGATGAGGAAATATTTTGACAAAAATAATAATTTATAAAATGGTTTTATAAATAATTTAAAGTGTTCTAAAGATAATTTTGTCAATACAAACTCAAAATTGTTGTATCTGAACAAAGCAAAATCCCATTTTGAAATATATGCTACCCATTTGTAACACACACTTATTATAATGTCTTCAAGTATGGGAAAGTACAATAATTAGTTTTTAGGAAAGTGAAGTGTGTGATACCCGAAAGCCTTGGGTCAGATGAAACGTATGGTTCAAATGGATGATTTGTTGTCCTAGCTTACGATCGGTAGAAAATGATGGATTTTATAGGTTAAAAAAACTATGTTCTTGAGAAACTTCACTTAATACTTAAGGGCACATGCAACCTAAAAGGATCTATCTCGTACACTTAGAATGCAATATACATGAGTAAAAAAAACTAGATACACCCTAATATAAGCAAAATACAATACAAAATTGGAGTTACATACCTTTTATTTATTGTAGGAAACAAATCACTCCAATCCTTCGTTTGAAGATCTTGTAAAATTAGCACCAAAAGGATGATGTCTCTAATAGCTCACACCCAAGCACTAGAACTAGATGAAAAGTAAGGAGAGATAGGAAGAAATGTAAATTTTCGTTCATATACCTCTAGAAAAGAGTATGCACGAAATTTGAAACAGAAGGGGTCCAATTTATTGTTTAAGTAACTTGCAGACAAAACAAAATTCGAACCGACAAAAAAAAATTCAAATCGTTTCCTTTTATGCAAGCAGGTGGCTTTCAAAAACCCTAGAAGAGATCCCAAAACCCTACATGCTTGGATGGTTATAGAATGATCTCTTTTGTTCAACTATTAAAGAATTACAATTCACCCCTTGCACTTTTAATTAATTCCAACTAATCCAAGATTAATTCCAGATTTATTTTGATTAATAACTAATCAACTCTAACTGATTTCATATTAATTTATTAAACATCTAATTTATAAAAATTAATCATTTAACAATTTCTATCATATTAGTTTATTAATAACATAATCAAGTAACCAAAAGTAAGGGATTGTTTGCGTTATATAACCATGAAAAACACAATTTCATCAAATGACCACGACTTCTGCAGAGAGGGAATCTACGGAAGTCCATACACTTTGAGGAATCAGACATGTGGGAAAAAAGAAAAAAAGTGATTTTACATCGTTCCGTAGAGTGGTGCTCTATGGAAATAACCATGACTCTGCGGAACCAATGTATTGCTCTTAGGAAATGGTAGATTAAGGCATCGATTTTTCTCTGACATTTCGCAGAGTTCGTCTCTACAAAAAGATTTACTGTTTACAGGGAAATGGTTGTTGGAGCGGTTTTAAAAACTAATGACTTTTTTTTAATGGTAGTGTCGGTATTTTAGCATTCTTAATGACTATAAACTTTTTTTCCGTTTTTGTCGTTTTTTTATCTATGGAGAGAGTGTTCCGAAATAAAGAGTATTATTATTCTGTGTACGAGAGGGTTGTGGTTGTCGATTAATAGAAATGAGGTTTAAGTTAGAAATAATGTTAAAAAATTTGGTTTAAATCTTCCTCCTAACCGTGACCATCAGATGTTATTACAAATGGTTAGAGATAAAGCAAGTGTGTTCAATGGTAATATATTATTGTCTTTTATCTACCCAGATTGTGGGTATGTTATGGAGATGTGGGTATGTTATGGAGATTGTAGATGAATCAAATGTATTTCATCTAAGACATGTAATGTCTAAAACAAAGAAGACAATTCATTTGTATTTATCGGTGCTTGGTGAAAAGTTTCATGAACAGCCACGGGTGAAGTTTGTAGAGAAAGACAATCCATTGGAAACCATTCCTTTGGACGAGGAAATGACGTGCGGGTGGGTTATCAAAAGAGAGCTTCGGTGGTGAAAGACAATCTAGTGGAAAAAAGTAGTAGAGGTAGTAGAGCTTCAGAACAACGAGTTTATTGGAGAAAAAAGTAGTAGAGGTTGTGGAGAAAGACAATCCAATGGAAACCATTCCTTTGGACGAGGAAATGACGTGCGGGTTGGTTATCAAAAGAGAGCTTCAGTTCCTAATAACTCTGTATCAGATAATGATCAAGAACCCAATTTGCACGTGACAAAATCAGAAAAACAAAATTTATTTGAGGTGGGAGAAGTACACACAACGACAAAATGCTTT